GTCTGGCAATGTGTTTGAAATAAAGTCCCTGGCGATAGCTCCTGTAAGATATGCTAAGAGACCATATGTGCCAACCAGACAGTCACCAACAATTCCACCCCACACATTTATCGTAAACTAATGCTGGTGTCTAGCCTGTATTGTACCATGGGGATTCCAATTCGCGCACAAGTGTTGGTTGTGTAAATTTATTATTCCATTTCATACAAATGTTGCCTCATCCGTAAAGAAGACCGAAGAGACAAACAGTGCATCGGCAGTTTGTGCAAAGGTTCTCCCGTGGTGAACGATCAGGGGGAGAAAGACACTGCACATGTTGCAAATGATACGGGTACAGGAGCTGCTCTTGAATTACCCTCCATGTGTTATTATGGGTTGTACAACATGCTAGGGCCACTTGACGTGATACCTGGATCTTCACCGACAGCCCATAGAATGGGTTCTTCGTGATCAGGCGGAAGAGCGGAACTCGATCTTCCATGATACATAGTTTGTGGTGCCACGGATCCTATCTGACGCTTTACCATCTGAATATCCTACGGTTTTGAAACGAAACACTTCTAAGTTTACACATTACTACACACGTTAAACGGTGAAGAGAAACTAGCCACAAATGTACACGAATAACAAATATAACCTAGTCTACATAGCTGGCATCACAGCGCTATCTACCGTAAACTTCATTAAACTTAATAATTCAAAAATTAAGGATTTGCAGGCATATGTTTATATAGACTTTTATCCTTGTTTTGGTGTGAGGAACACGCCTTCAATGTAAAACTATTTTTGATACATCATATATATATATATATATATATAAATGTAAAAGACAATAGGAAAACTTTAATATTAGTCGACGCGTTTTTTTCAAGGCAAAAACAAAATGAATTCATTAAAACAAAGTAACTATTAATAACGTTTTCTACAGGTTAACTCTGAGAAATTTTTCATTTACCTGGCTTATGTCAGAGGTTATTCCCCAGAGGGTGCTCTGCAGAAGGGCAGAGTCTCGTCTCGGGAAATTGACTCCGTTTTTACGTGGTCTATAGGGAATATTTGCCCGAGCCTACGGGCTCGAATATCCCACTTTAAACTCGGCCTTGTGCCACATCTTGCTGCGTGGGTCAGCGGGTAAATAATTATATATATATATATATATATATATATATATATATATATATATATATATATATATTTATTCATTTGTTTTTATTCATTTGTTTTGTTTTTGATTCTATTTTCCTATCAGAAATCTGTGTTCTGACTTTTTTCGTTATCTTTTTACAAAATAACACAATATAGTCTATTTTTCTTTTTTTGTATTTTTCACAGTTTCTCTCTCCCCCTCCCTCTCTTACTCTTTCTGATTTCTTGTACACACACACACACGCGTACACACACATTCACACACACGCACACACGCACACACACTTATAGAAGTGTTTATGAATATGAGTGAGTGTATTTATTTTGTAACGTACTTTTTTGTCTTTCTTCTATTCATTTCTATTGTTTATATCACTCCTTGTCTCAATTCCTTCTTTTTTTTCCTCCTCTCTTTTCCCATTTGCTTTATCTGTTCTGTAATATTTCACCAATTTTTGCGTCTGTCACGAATTCTGTCTATGCATAATCAATTGTTTTTATCTCGCCTCTCAGTCTGCCTGACACGTGAAGATAAATCGTGCAGCAAACATATTTCTTACTTTTCAAAGTACAACAAATGAAAAACAAAAAGCGCCAAAAGCTAAAGACAAATGAAACGAACATCTTTTTTGATTATGTAAAATGGAATATTTTTTTTCTTTCTTTTTTGACCAGACACCACTTAATGAAATAATCATTTTAAAAGACAACAATATAAAAAAAACCCCGAGAAAGTAAAATAATTGACTTGTGATAATCATTTTCATCGATATAATCAAAAGGGGCAACTGAAGACATATTAATCATTAATGGTGCACTGTAAATAGCCTAGAAAGAACGAACTGAATTACTAAATCCAAAGAATCAGAGGAAATCCAATTATACGTTAAAAAAACATCCTTCTTTTTGGAATTATCAGATTTCCTAAATGATACTCCAATTAATATTCACGGATATTGTAGTTTTAGAAGACTTTTTTGTACTGAACAGATTTTTCGAAAGAAAAATTATATTTGTGTCGCTATTGATTTTTGTATTGTTAGCAACAAGTTATATTAAAGAGATCTTAATGATTGATTGAACAGTTTACGGGTTACCCAGAATTTTCCTGTTATTTAAAGCCAAAAAATATTTCTAAAATGTAATAAATGTTTAGCGATAACAGTGACTTACTAATATAAGTTTTACTAACTAACTCTTAGCTGACTTGAGAAGATGTGGAATTATATCTTTCCGAACGTTAATTAAATATAACGATCATGAACTCCCCGATTACAAACTACGAGTCGTTTTCCATTTTACCATCCACACATTCAAGCTTACATCACCTGGTATTCTCTTGTGGACACCCATTTATGTACTGACCAGGCTCGATGTTGCTTAACTTCAGTAATATTACGCGAACCGGTTTTTCAACGTGATTTGGCCGTAAAGCTAGGTCTAAGATGTCATCGAAAATGAATCTATCTGAATTTCTAGAATGAGGAAGTATTTACATTGCTTAAATTCGGATTATTTTTCTCATCTTGTTGTCATCACAACGTTTCAGCCGTTGTGCACTCCGGCCTTCATCACGTGTATGTTTATCTGGGTAACCTACACCGAATTCCAGACAGAACCCTTTATTTAATCTACGGGTGTAGACTGTACTCGTTCCACTACCCATGTCTAGGGATATCTCATCTTGTCCTTAAGCTCAGCGATATCAATCAAATAAATTCTATCAAATGGTCAGTTTTATGTTTTAGTATATAATTAATAATCAAATATGTGTTCGAACTGACGGTTCAGAATTGTGGAGAATACAAAAAAAGATCTTTTACGTGGCTTTACTTTGTCTTTTCTACAAATATTTTCATGTCAACTTCTCCGACGAGCCTTTCCTTGGTGTCCCGGCTCAATGTAAGCGTGCTACTAGATTGGCATTTAGGTCCCACCTTTTTACTGTTGAAATAGCTAAATACAACCGTGTCTTATACTCCAACAGTTTCTTTTCTCCCATGTCGAGCCTGTGAAACATTAATATGTTTTCTTGCTTCCTTGATAACTACAATTAAAAAAAAATCAGCGTTAATCTCCATCTTCTATCATCTTGAAACTCGTTCATCTTTTGTCGTTTCCTCAATCCTCCCTATTCTCAGCCTTTTCTTTCAATTTCACTTCTGCCTTGCTTGGGGTAAAATGATTAAAAAAGAAGAATCCATTTAATCTCCATGTTTCTGTTCCTGCCCTTTGAACAGATCATTGGATATTTTCGCCACGAGTTGGAACCGTGTATACAGTAATTTATTCGTAAATTGGGAAAATATATTAAATAAATAAACAGATAGAACATGTACATTGAATAAAATAAAACAACTTTTATTGATATCGGTGTATGAGGGACGAAATGTTCAGTTATTTCAGAAATGAAACTATCCACATATGTTTCGATTATAATTGGTAAGAATTGTGTAGAACAACAATCGTAAATCTGTTCTTTGTTCTTTGCATTTTAAATCAAAGCATCAAATGCTTACAGCAAACGAGCACAAAATTTTAGAGAAGGCGAGTAAGAAAACTAATAGAGTGGAAATTATGTTACCTCGCTGGGTCTGATCACTGAAAATAAACAAAGAATGAAACCAGTTATATCGGTGGACTGAGTAAACGATCTGAAGAATGAAAAAAAAAAAAAAAAAACAATAATTTAAAGATCCTCTTAGTGAAAGAGAAATTAATTCCGGCTACAAAAACAGTTATTGTTTTATAAAGGGGGAAGAATTGTGCAGAACCAGTAACAATTTTCGGAAGAAATTTTAAGAGAGATATTGTGAATAGTGTGACACAGCACACTTTACTCCTCAGGTTTGAATTCGGGATTATCCTTCTCCTATGTTGGAGAGCGTAGTGTATTCTGAAGTTTAACCCATACATAAGAAGGAAAAATGGTTGCAAATCTTGCCAAAGAAAACGCAACTAAAATTCATATATATATATATATGTGTGTGTGTGTGAATTTTATATATAGAAATAACTAAAGCTAAGAACGAATCCCAACATAAAAATAATGAAATCGAAAACACTTTAAGTGAAACTGAATAGAATGAAGCACAATACCACATCAAGATAGGTATTACAACTGATGAACTTGACCATAGACAAATAATTGCAAAAAAACATATACAGTGTGTGTGTGTGTGTGTGTGTGTGTGTGTGTGTGTGTGTGTGTGTGTGTGCGATTTACTAAGTGTATCTTAATTGTGGCACCCAGAGGGCACAAAACAAACCAAACGATCATTGTTGCAATGTCCGTATAACGAATCTAAAACAAAAATTACCATCTTTGTTATATAATTTATTATATAATTTATTGTAATGTACTTGTAATCTCTGATGATGGCTTATGTAAGCCGAAACCTTAGACAGGATTAACAATAAAAACATGTATCAACATGGTGATTTTCTTTCGTGTTTCAGTGATAATACTAAAAAATCTTATTCGACAATATGAAAGGAATTTACTTAAAATAGACAAAACTTTATTATTTAACGAAACATGCATTTATATATATATATATATATATATATATATATATATATATATATATATATATATATATATATATGCGTATATTTGTGTTTGTATTTTGTAAAAATTAATTAATATCATTCACTGTCATTTTTCATTTTCATGAAATGTATAAATATGCACTAAAAATGTTAGTTTTCTAGTTTTAATTAATTCCCGAACACTAGCTTCGAAACTTCGTCCTTGCACGTACAAATCTTTTTTTTTTTTTGTGAAAAAGCGCTCATCAACCTTCTGGATGATTTCTATGTCTAAAGCGTTGTGCATAAAGTTCTATTAGTGATTAGAAAGGTGAAGAGGATTCTGTGAGATAACAGTCCGGCTGTGAGGTAAGACTGAGGCTGGGAAGGAACAGTCCGACAGTGAAGGAACAGTTCGGCCATGAGGGAAGACTCCGGCTGTGAAGGAACAGTCCGGCCGTGAGGGAAGACTCCGGCTGTGAAAGAACAGTCCAGTCAAGAAGGAACAGTCCGGCAGTGAGTGAAAAGTCCGGCCGTGAGGGAAGACTCCGGCTGGGAAGGAACAGTCCAGTCAAGAAGGAACTGTCCGGCAGTGAGTGAACAGTCCGACAGTGACGGAACAGTCCGGCCGTAAGGTAATACTCCGGCTGGGAAGGAACAGTCCAGTCAAGAAGGAACAGTCCGGCAGTGAGGGAATAGTCCGACATTAAAGGAACAGTTCGGCCGTGAGGTAAGACTTCGGCTGGGAAGGAACAGTTCAGTCAAGAACAGAAGTGATCTGGCAGTGAGGGAATAGTCAGACAGTGAAGGAACAGTCCGGCCGTGAGGTAAGACTCCGGCTGGGTAGAAACAGTCCAGTCAAGAAGGAACAGTCCGGCAGTGAGGGAACAGTCCGGCAGTGAGGGAACATTCTGGTTTCAACTTGAAATGACTCTAAGTCTTAAAGTAACAATATCATTTACAGGGTTGATAGTTACGTTTACATCAGTGCACCTAACTCGGAATGCTGATAAATACTGGATAATTGTTTTAATCGTACTAAATTTCCACCAGCTGACGCACAAATCTCATTTAAATGTTATACGACATTAAGGGCTGAAATATTATTACATTCTAAAAAAACAAAGCAGTCTTCTATAATGGGAAAATATTGATGCTTAATATTTTTTTACAAATTTTAACTGCTATTGGCAACTCATAAAATTAATACGAAATCTATAAATACACGTATATAAATGTGTGTCTGTGTGTGCGAATATGTTCTTGCTTGTGCATGTGTGAGTCTCTATTACTTAAAATTTGCTATACTTATAGAGAAAGACTGCTAAACGTCGGAGAAAGCGAGTTTATAGAAATAGTGTGGACATGCAAATCAACATTATATGCTTATAGTTCTTTTAAAGTGATTTTCAGATAATATTTAATATATTCTGAAGATCGCTAGTTACGTGAACATTATCACATTATCTAACCACACTGATGAATTGTGGATTATAATATATATATATATATATATATATATATATATATATATATATTGTCATCCATATATATATATATATATTGACACACACATATATATATATATATATATCAAGGGTGTATCAAAAATAACTTTATAAACATTGGGTGCGGGTTTCTCACACCAAAACAAGGACAAAAGTCTATATAAACATATCCTTTGTTTATACGTCAAGTCTAAAGAAATTTTACGGTCCCTGGCGCAGTGTTGCTATGTAGACTAGGTTATATTTGACATTCATGTACATTTGTGGCTAGTTTGTCTTTAATGTTTGACGTGTATAGTAGAAGGAAGTGTTACGTTTAACAATGATAGGATATTCATTTAAAGACCAGACAGATATGATTTTTATATATGGCCGCGCGAATGGTAATGGACGCGAGGCAGCACAGATGTATCAGTTTGCGTTTCCAGAAAAAAGGCTGTCGAGTCATCCAAACTTATCTGCTGTTTATCGTGGCATTGTTGAGACAGGATTCGTGGCACCAAAAACTATGGATCGTGGAAGACCTAGGTCCAAACGTATGCTTGACAATATTTTACAGGCTGTCGGTGACAATCCCGGTATCAGCACACGTCACGTAGCCCTAGCAAGTCGCACATCTCATAGTACCACATGGCGGGTACTTCAAAATCACCTCTTGCATTTTTATTATTTTCAACGTGTGCAAGATCCATCGCCCTCTTATCACTAATCACGGATGAAATTTAGCCGATAGTTTATTGCCCAAAACAAACTGCCGATCTCTTCAGTCTTGTTTACGGATGAGGCAACATTTGGAAGAGAGGAATAACAAATTTACACAACCAACATCTGTGTGCAGTTCGGAATCCCCATGGTACAATACAGGCGAGACAGCAGTAGCAGATTACGATTAATGTGTTGGCTGAAAGTGTAAATGACTGTCTGGTAGGTCCATATATTCCACCAGCTCGTCTTACAGGAGCTGTCTACATGGGCTTTAATTCGAACACACTTCCAGATCTGATAATTGATGTACACCTGCTAATACGTCGAGGCTTTTAGTTCATGTATGATGGGGTCCCAGCAAATTTTCGACATATTTTTAGCGGTATACTGGTTGTTATCTCCCGTGTATAAGGTCAGGGCTCTGACTAAGCAACTGGAAGAGATGCAATTTACCCTCGTCCCGCTTCCTCTCGATATAACGTTTATTCTTTAAGGCAGTATGCTTAGGATGATTATCGTGTTGGGACGTGAATCGTTGATCTTAGACAAAACACTTTTTAGCAGAAAGTCACATTTTATCAACAAGAATATTGTGGTATTGATGCTGGTCCTTGATTCCCTTGATTTTGTACAAATTGCCAACTCCTGCTGCTGAGAATTCACCCCAAACGTTGATTTTTATATCGTGTTCAGCAGTACCCTTGGTAGGCACTGGAGTATTCGTTTCACCGGGAGTACACCAAACACGTATTCGTCCTTCATATCTAAGAGTAGAGGCGCTTTCGGCACTCCACATAACATCTTCCCAATCAGATTTAGTCCAGTGTAAATGAGCTTTTCACCAAGCCAACCATGCCTGTCGATTCTTTTTACAAATACGAAAGGTTTCTTTTTTATGCATTTGGAAACAATACCTTTTGCTTTAAGTCTGCGTCTGACTGAAAAATATTTTTTTTAACTTGTATAATGTACTTATGTACACCTGTATTAATATCCTGTATTAATAAACGAAATTTATTACTCAATTGTCCTGGTAAAAATAGGAAAATCAACTTTATATGGGTGCCTCTATTTTTCTTTTACTTTGTACTGTATGTATTTTCAATATATATTATATTAGAATCAGTAACATTTTCAGCGCTTCGTGCGAACCAAAAAAGAATTTAGCAAAAATGCGATTCCGTAATTTCCACTGTCAAAAACCGAACAGAAGTCATAAGTTTATAATTGATAATATTATCAATCAACTGAAGTACTCACACTTATAAGGCCGTTCTGGAAAGCTTTCGTCACAACCTATTTTCCAAAACTTTACCAAATGATAATAAATAAGATTTTTTTATACATTTCTTTTCTTTCTTTCTTTCTTTATTTCTTTCTTTCTTTTTTTGTCTTTTAAGATTCTTGCATCTCAGATAGCAGAACAGGGAGCAAGATAGTAGCAGTTACAAAAAAAAATGGCAAATCTCTGTCTAATTTTTTGATTTTCAAGCAAACCAAATCTGTCTGCTTTTTTTTACTCTCGAGCAAACCAAATATCCTATATATATAATCGTATATGAAGACCTAATTTTGAAGTTAATGTGACTAAAGTAAGTGAATATATAGTCTGCTCGACGGTGTAGTCATGACCAACAGTGCATACGATAATTTTATATCTCGTGTATGATGCGATTAACTTCGAAATTAGGTCTTCGAAACTCGCATGAAACGCGAGCACATACGGTATCTGTCATTTTAACTCTCCGACAAATCAAACGTATGTCTACCTTAAAAAACAAAATAAATCACTTAGACCAAATGGGGTGAAGGCAGGCGTCAAATAGCGGCCAGTTAAGATCATCGATAGAGAAACGGAGAGATTGCAGGGCAGAATTGGCTATCTAGCCTCGGTTGCCAACCAGTCTAAGGGAAAGAAAATCTTTAAATTCCAAACCGTAGCGAAGCAGGCGGTATTTATCCGAGCCATCTTTCCAAATAACAGATGGAAAAATAAAGGGAGAGCCATGATTGCTTGAATCTTGAAAGGGCATGCAAAGTTTTATACTAAGGCTGATCATACCGAAGTAGAAACTTCTTCGGTATGACGATAAACTACATCTGCGACCTGGGTAAGACGATAAAATACATCTGACAGGAAGGCCTCTGTTTAGGAGGTTTTGAGGATCATGGAATCACCTTTTCGTTGCTGGTGTTCCCAGGTCCACCCTGGCCTGAGGTGGTGGCACCTGTCGGGGTCCTAGCTGTGGCCAAATAGTTGACCTCCCACCCCCAAAAGGGGTCAAAACACTATGAAATTATAAAAGTAGCTTTTAATACAAGCAATACTTTTTTGGAAAAATTATTACCAGCAGTGTATTTTTGAAAAAGAAAAATATTACCAGCAATACATTTTTGGGGAAAAAAAATTACCAGCAATAAAAATCTTGTCGGCATTAAATAACACATTGCGGTTGATGTGCCGTAAACCAAACCAAACCTGAATTACAAACAATGGACTTCACCAAATAATAGAAACCACATCACTTCAAGACTTTCAGCAGCAGTAAAAAAATTAATTGGTTATCATATGTAACTCGGGAAGAAAATGACATAATCATGATATTTACTATCTACATTACATTCAAAGAAGTATCAAAAGGGAAGCCCTCACCCCATCAGTACTAGAAATATCAATAACAGTTGACTTGAGAAACCTATTTTCCTTGTAGAACTATTTTTAGAGAAAGATTCTATAAATTTCAGCTGGCATTAAAGCTAACTGATCAGTCAATGAATGCCAAATATTTCTTTATAAGGAAACGGTTATTCTCACCATTTCATTACCACTATATCCTGGAAAATTTTTATCGTCTGAGTGATATAATTACTATAGCATAGAACCCTTACATAGTAATGCATGACATTATTATTTCTTGAAGATGCTCAGTTTGAAAGACAATGTTTATTAAACTGGGCATCTTCAAGAAATAATTAAAATGCAACGAGTAACAAACGAGCCTTAATATAGAAACTTGCATACTCGTTCAGGTTATAGGCGATCATTTCTTTCCAGACTGCTTTTACTTATTTTTCGTGATTAACCATGCGTTTTTGAGAAAGATGGTGGGTAATATTCCCTCTGGCTTCTTTAACTTTTTTTTTTTAATTCAGAGATATTCCTTCTTTTACACTAGTTTCCAATCGAGGTTAGTTGAATAGTATCTTATTGTTGTAAGCAGCATCAGGGTATTAAAGTGAATGCAAAAGGCTAGACAGGAATTTGAACTCAGCTATCCAGGTCCACTTTATGTATCTTGCCTGAATATACTTGACTGGAAATACCTTCTGAAATTCCAAGAGATTTGTGTGTCGATTTGAAAACGCAGCACAAACGCCATGTGTAAAGTAAGAGCAAAACCTTCCAAAAATTAAATGTGTCAAGGCAATTCCCTATTCGTGCAATGATTGTTGCTGCCCCGGCGTTGGAATAGCCAGAGAGATGTTCTTTAAATAAGGGACTTCCAATTCATGAAACGATATGCGGGTA